CTGCACATCAGTGGATCACAAGGTCTGTAGATGTTATTGATTGTGATGCATTTCATTCTCAGCACATCAGATCTGATGGTCGTTATTGGGAGAAATACGTGGTAATGGATCTGGAAAATATCAACAATATAATCTCAGCAGAATGCATTTTAGACATCAGAAAGTAAAATATCACCAGTTCTAAACCTGCAACAAGGCATTTGGAGACTCAAGGCTGGTTTTCTGGCTTTGATGCAAAAATTAAATGTATTCTTTCTAAATAAATGCAGAAAGACCCATGCTGGATTCAAACCAGGACCTTGTTGCTGCAAGGCATTAGTGCTACTGACTGTGTTACTGAGCTGGACTGGAACATTACAGCTGATGAGGGAAAAGTTTTAACGATACTGCAGAGTTTGGACAAAACCTGCTCCACAGGATCAACATGGCAACCAAACTCCAAGTCTGGATATTTTATGATGTGATGCTACGTGTTTTATACAAAAAGGAAGAAATTAGAGGAATCAAAAAACAAGAATAAACAAATTAATAAATAAAATAAATACATAAAAAAACTATATGAATGAAAATTAAAATGCAAAAAAATGTAACCTTGCTTATATGGATAAATGTAGAAAAAAAACTTATGTCAGTTAATTAATTTGCCAATTAAATATCTGGATTTGTTAATAAGGTTAAGAACATTAAAAATGAAGCTGTTATTGATGGAGTTTCCTTTTGATAAAGGAAGGCAATTTAAATCACCTGGATAAAACAAATGTGACATGAATGTTTTTCAATGTTGTTATTGAATTTAAAAAGACTGCACTGAAGTTAGACCATAAACTCACTTTGACATATATAAAGCACTTCCAGGTACTTGTAGGTTCCAGGACAGGGATCTCCAAACACAAAATTACTGGCTGAGACAGTACACTCCGATTCCGCCGCACATCTGTGGATCCAGATCAAAATCAGTTTTCTTGAAATTGTGATTTGGTGTTTCTTGGATTTGTTAATTAATATTCTGTTTGAAAATCCTTTAACAAAGACTGAAGCTCTGTACCTCTCAAGTTCTGAAGCTCCATTCACAGAACAATTAGTATTCTTTGTGCGTTCGCCAGGAATAAATTGGGAGCACGTCGTCCGATCGCGGCGTCCATATCTAACGCTGATCAGAAATAGCGCCCCACTTGCTGTTGGAAGATAGAAGAGGAAATGTTGGAAATCTGAATGTATTCATGCTGTAATGCTCCAGACCAACCAGTAAAACCAGTGACCTTACCACACTTGATGTGACCAACTGATCCCTCACATGTCACATGGGACAATATTCCAGCCAATGACCTTGATTCTGTGATATGAAAGATTCAGATATTAATATCAGACACTGAAAAGTTCAGCTATCCAGGATCTAATGAAAATGTATGTTTCATAATTTTAGATTCAATGATCTTCATATTAAAACTTGCAACACTAACCTTTCGGTTTCTGAAAACCACGTCCTGCCTGTTAAAAAATAAATAAACAAAAGACTAAATTAATCACAAATGGAAACGACAGAAGATTTTTACTTCAAGCTTTGGAGCTGTAAGCATCAAACTAAAATCTGGTTAACAACTAAACAAAAAAACTACAATTGATAAATAAAACCAGTAAAATAATGTTTTTAACAATAGATATTCAAACCACAAAGAGAACAGAAGGTTTTCATTCACATTGATTTCCAGGATGAATCCACAGAGGAACAAAGTAAAAAGGATGAATTTCATCTGTATGAAAGCAGGAAACATTCAGTTACTCTGAGATATGACTGAGAAAAACTCAATGATTTTATGAAATATTTATAACAATCTGCTGAACTAAATGACATACATTTTAATTCATAAATATGAACATAAAAGCTTTTAGTAAGATTAAACTTACTGTTCCTTCTTTGTACGCTTAAATCTCAGCATATCAAAAATGCAACTATAGGTTGACATCATCCAGTTTTAGTCAAATCTTACCTTGTGATGAAGAATCAAAGCAGCAGCAGGACTTTCTGGAAGCAATGTGTCTTCAACAGGGGAATGGAGGGTTTATAAACCTTCACTGATGATCTGGCAGGGGAAGAAAATATTTTACTCCTTCAACAATTCAGCCTGCTGAGTTTTTCTGATCAGAAGTTCAGGTTGGTGATGGGTGTGTCACACCTGAAGCCATTTCTCCTCATTCCTATTGATAAATCATTGATCATCTCTTTATAGCCCCAGCCCAGCTCGCAGGTCACACCAGACTGAAAATGATGGGAGGAAAAACCCAGTTGGGTTTTAGATACTGGCTGCAGCAGCCAGGTGGGATTTTCTGTTAACAAAGATTGTTGGCCTTGATGTGGACCGTGATTCTGTCAGCCGTCTCCATCTGCTCTCTGGTTTCATACAGGAATCATAAACCATTGATGTCTTTATCAGCTCTATGAAATCCCAGTCATTACTCTTGGATGAGTTTAATACATAAAACCCTCCTAATATCTCTGGAAACATGTTGGAGCTCACGATTCCTTCTGAATTTGCTTTTCTCAGTTTTGTCAGATTGTGGACAAATTTTAGTGTCATGTAAAGTTGATCCCAGTAAATACAAAATGTTGTTTTAAATGCTTAATTCATTTCAATTCTGTGTATACAGTTTGTTGAAATATAGCTTATTTATCATAGCCTGATGTAAATACATTAGGAAGAGAGAAGAAATAAATCTTTGATATTTCAGTCTGGAAATGGTCAGCAAGTCGTTTCTAAGGCCTTGGGATTCTGGAAAAGCATAGAGAGAACTGTTATCTGTAAATGTGATGTGGGTGTTTCTGCACCAGAGTCTGTGCTGCTTTGTCTGGGACTGGAGGTTCATATTTATGTTTATAATTATTTTTGTTGAATGAGATCCCCATAAGCATCAGCAACATGCTGTAAACTACAAAAGGATTAAAATATGGTGTGGATGGTGTGATATCTAATGATAAGAGCTCCTTCTCACAGACAAAATGTTTAAAGCAAACTTTTTAGGAAAATAAAGCATCGGTTTGTTTAGCAACAGTATAAAATCCAACCGGTTTTTCCAAACTACCACCTTAAGCTTGATGTTAACATTTTAGGAAATAGAAAAAGGTTAGATAAGCTCTAATAATCAGAAATGTGAAGAAGTAGTTTCAGGATTGACCACCTTCTGACCCGTCCCCTTATTCTCCCTGGTCACATGTAAAGTGGACCTGGCCATTCTGGACGTTACTTTAAAGATTCCTTGAAGTTTTCCTTCAACTACTTGAGCTCCTCAGTGAAGGAAAGGCTCTTAAACATTGCAAAGCCATTTACACACTCCTCCATCAACACAAGAAGCACAATCCTGAGTCATTGCCTTCAGCAAAACTAACAAGTCAGTCTTTTCTTCACTTTTCAGAGATGAGATTAAAACATCCAGATTAGTTTGTCCTCTGGAGATTCTTATCTTAATTATGCAGCAGCCCAGGAGCAAACTGTGGAGAGAAAGAGGCCTGGAGTTCCTGACAGACCGGCCTGTGTGTGTGTGTGTGTGAGGGTGGGGTGGGGGGGGGGGGTGCGTGTGTGTGTGAGTGTGTGTGCGTATGTGTGTGTGAGTGTGCGTGTGTGTGTGTGTGTGTGTGCGTGCGTGTGTGTGTGAGTGTGCGTGTTTGTGTGTTCGTGAGTTTGTTTATATTACCTTTTGGGTTTTCGTGACATGTACAGTGTTGTGGGGACCCGCTGCTCCTTGTGGGGACCGAAGCCTGGTCCCCTCAGGGAAAATGCTGTATTTTAGTCAGGGTTCAGATTTAGGACCAACACGTGAATTAAGTTCTGATTAAGGTTAAGGGTAAGGTTTAGGTTGTAAAAATTAATGCAAATCAATGGAAAGTCCCCACAAAATGGCCACGCAAACATGTTTCATTTTACATAGAAACCTAAATACAAAAACTAATGTCAAATTTTTGGGCGTTCTCGTTGTCTTTTGCCAATCAATAAAGTTTATTTGTATACCACATTTCACCAAATGAAATCCGTCCAAAGACTTTACATTATTAAAAAACAAATGCCATAAAAACAGAGCAATTATAAAATAATCAATAATCTTCAGTATTATGTTGATCAATGTTTAATTGTTCATGGCTCAAAAGAACTTTAAACTGGTGGGTTTTAGCCTTGATTTAAAGAAACTGATTGCTTTGCCTGGGTTGCACTTTGCTGGAGGTTTGCGGTGCATAGAAGCTGATTGCTGCTGGTCCATGTTCGCTTCTGTTTCTGGATGCAGAGAAGAATCAGAACCACAACCTGAGAGATCTGAAGGTTGATCCAGCAGCAGCACATCTTTGATCTGTTCAGTAATTTATAAACGACCAGCTGGAGTTTAAAGTCTGTTATCTCAGTAAAGGACTGTAGAACTGGGTGAAGTTGTGCGGTTGATGTAGACCTTGGTGATGTAGAGCTGGTTGAAATAGAACTGGTTGGTGTAGAATTGAGTCACGTAAAACTAGTCATTAATTTCCACTTCTAGATGTGATGACCATGTGAATTATTGTCCTTTGAGTTCTCCCAGTTTCAGTTCGTAGTGGTCCCAGTGACTTCTACATAACCTGCTTGGTAAGTTTTCATATAAGCATCTAAGAGCCACTCAGTTATGGGAACATTCAGTTTGTTTTTACCAACATTTCACTGAAGGTGAAAAAACAAAAAGTCATTCATGGATCTATTTGTTACAAACTACAAACACTGATAAGGGTTGCATGCTAACAGTTTGCCAGCAGAGTTCAGTTACCAGCCTGGCTCCTGTGAAGTGAGAGGAATACATTATTAACCTTAAAAACTGAATTATTTAATGTAAGGCACAAACATATTCCTCTCTGAATTTTCTCTTATTTTGGGTGAAGTAGTTTACCAAAAGAAGCAGTTTAACAAAAAGGCTGTCATTAATCTTTATATTACAGAAATGAAAATAAAAATATTTTCAAACTAACTCTATTACTTTATTTATTATGTTTAATTGCAATTCAGATTATTTTCATTCAGCTTCTTGAGGGAGCTAAGATTCTTCCAGGTTTGCAGCAGGATGCTGCAGATCTTCTCTCAGTCTGTTGCCCTCTGCGTCATCTGTTGGGGCAGCAGCATCAGAGCCTTCATCGGCATCCTGAAGAAGAAGGCGACTTCTGCTTCTATTCTGGGCACAACTGGGGAACATCTGGACATAATAAAGACGATGAGGCACAGGATTATTTATAAAATCAAGAAAAATATTGACAACTCTGACAACCTTTTCTGACTGTCTTGGGGAAAAAGTGTCTTCAGTCAGAATGCACCAATAAAGTATTTCTGAATTTTAACTTAGAAGATTGGAACCTGTTTTTGATTTATGCATAGAAATTTGAGGCATGTGGTTCTTGATTTAAGTGCTTGATGGGTTGAGCTGCTTTAACTCATCTGTAAATGTTCAAAACAAAGGATGCACTTTTTGATGCAACTTAAAATATGTTTGGCTAAGTGCAGTCCATTTACAAGCTTTTTGAAGTATTGGTAACTAATTAGATTTTACAGTGTAGATGATAACTGCTTTTGGCAGAAGAGATCTCTTGTAGCAGTCAGTGTTACAGTGAGCCTGGAGAAGCCTCTGACAAAGACAGTGTCATGAAGAGATCGGTCAGGGTTTTCAAAGTCTGAAGAAATTATAATTTTTCGATTATCATGACTTTTACATTTAAAACCAAAAATGGATGAAAGGAAGGAAAAACGCCTTTAACAAATAAACAAATAAAAATAAAAACTGAATTTAGACCAGATAATTTTTTAATGTTTAATGAAAACACTAATATTTTGTATTAATTTGCTAATTTAATATCCTGGATTTGTTAATCAGGCTAAAGAACAAAGTGAATAAAGCTGCTACTGATGGATTTTTGTTTAGAAGAGACACAACATTAAAATGAGCAAAAATAGCATCCATAAAGTTGTTGTTTGTGTTGCACCAACTTGTTGAAGCTGTTCCTGTTTTGAGAAAGATTTTTGTGAAGTGAGAGCCTGAACTCACCGTAACAAATATATTCCACCTCCAGGTACTTGTAGGTCCCATAGCAGGGATCTCCCAACACATAGTTCCTGGCTTTGACTTTACACCACTGTTTCCCGTTGCACCTGTGGATTCGGGTCAAAGTCAGCGATTTGCCTTTCTTAGACCTCCTCATTCACTCATTCACATCCAGTTTGATAAACCTTCAGGAAACACTGAAGCTCTGTACCTCTCACCAACTTTCCCTGCGTCTGTGGAGCACTCGGTGTTCTTTGGCTGGTCAGCAGGTCTCCCAGCGCTGCACCTCTTCTTGTCAGTGCGTCCATATGTAGCACTGGTCACATAGATAGCCTGACCTTCTTCTGCCAGAGCCAAGAGGAAATGTTGAAAACCTGAATGTATTCATGGTGTAATGCTCCAGAACCGCCCAGTGAAACCAGTGACCTTACCACAGTAGAGTCGAGCCACTGTTCCCTCACATGCCACGAGGGATTTTTCCTCTGGGAGGGATTCTGCATATGAGACATTCAGATCATATTAATATCAGGACACGGAAAAGTCCAAATTGTGTTTAGCAGTTTTAGATCCAATAAATGATGAACGTTCAACATCAGCCTTCATGCCCAGCTTGTCTTCATACTGAAACCTGCAGCGCCACCTTGTGAACTCCAAACACCAGAAACATTAAAGCACAAACCTCCTGATGAACTTCTCCCCTGTTAATTATAAGAGACCGATATAAAAAATAATTACTTTTGAAAAACATTTTTGTCTTCAAAGTTTTTAGAGTTGATAAAGTTATCATCGTTTATCTGCAGTTCATACAGACACATTTCAGTGTTTCACTGCCTGTTTCACATATGGACAAAATAAAGAGATAAAAAACACTAAAAGTACATTAATAACAACTGATTTTCTAAACAGCAAACAGAAGAGAAAGATTTCACTCACATTTACTTGAGCATGAATCCACAAAGGAACAAAGTAAAAAGAACAAATTTCATCTGTATGGAGATAAGAAACATCAGTAACTCTGAGATAAAACTGAAAATATTAGATGATTTTCTATATTTTTAACAAGCTGCTGAACCAAATGATACATTTCATCCATCGATACGAACATGATGGAAACAAGTTTTTATGTTTCTGACAATCAGAACTAGATTTTATCATAAAATATATCAGAAGAACAGAATTGTAAGCAGGTTTTAGTTTTGGGTTTGATGAGTCAAATTTTACCTTGTGATGAAGAATCAAAGCAGCAGCAGCAGAAACCAGGTTCACTGGAAGCAGTGTGCCTTCAACCAGGGAATGGAGGGTTTAAATACCTTCACTGATGATCTGACAGAGGAACAAAATGTCTTTATCCAGGCAACAATTCATCCTGTTGAGGTTCTCAGACCAGAAGTCCAGGCTGGTAATGGGTGACGTAGGGATGTGTCAGGTTAACTGTTTGGATCAGCTGTTCTTGAACGTCAACTTTTTTCTCTGTCAGGGCAGAGCCAATGTACAACAGTATATGGGTGCAATGTACAGTTGAAATGTACATCAGTACTTCAACAATGTTCTCAGTCTGCTAAACTATCTTGCATTACTTCCTTCAAGAATCAGGCTGCTTTTGAATTTGAAGAGGATTTACTAAAGAAAAGTGTGAAACTGAAATGAGATAAAACACTGACAAATACACCAAATACAGTAAAATAAATATAATAGCTTATAAGGTTAATTTAAACTTGTAATTCCCCTTAGATAAAGTTAGATAAGGCTGAAATATGTTCATGTTCAGACATGTTGCTGGCCAACATAAATGCAAATTTGACTCTCGCCAAACTTTGCAGAATGACTCAGGCTGACATGTCCCACTACTGGGAGCAATTTAGTTAGGATTTAGCACGATACCGATGTTTATGTGATGTACAAATTTGTGAAAAAACACAGAGTGAAGCATGTTCTTTCCTGTTCAAACTGGAAACCGTTTTTTAACTGTCTTCATAGTTTGTAAGGAGTTTGTCAAAATTTTCACCCCCATCAGGCTGTAGCGAACAAAGGCAAACTGAGCAACATGTAAATGCAAGTCAGGTTTATTGATGAAAGTTGAAATAAAAGCAAAAGGATGAAGATTGGGAAGAAAAACAAATAAATGTACAGAAAACTAGAAGACACTGAAGAGAGATGAAGCTGCACATCAGTGGATCACAAGGTCTCTAGATGTAGAAGGAGCCGCTTGGGCTGGTGATCCACATTAGTGTCATGTGGATGCATTTCATCCTCAGCACATCAGATCTGATGGTCGTTTCATTCAATTTCACCTTTACCTGAAACCACATAAATATCAACAATATAATCTCAGCAGAATGCAGTTTAGACATCAGGAAGTAAAATATCACCAGTTCTAAACCTGCAACAAGGCATTTGGAGACTCAAGGCTGGTTTTCTGGCTTTGATGCAAAAATTAAATGTATTCTTTCTAAATAAATGCAGAAAGACCCAGGCTGGGATTCAAACCCAGGACCTTGTTGCTGCAATTCATTAGCTACTGACTGCGTTACTGAGCTGGACTGGAACATTACAGCTGATGAGGGAAAAGTTTTAACGATACTGCAGAGTTTGGACAAAACCTGCTCCACAGGATCAATATGCCAACCAAACTCCAAGTCTGGATATTTTATGTGATGCTAAATTTAAAAAAAGAAACAAATAACTGAATATGAAAAAATGGTACATGCAAATATGGATGAATTTAGAATCTTAAAAAATATTTCAGTTATTTAATTTGCCAATTGAATATCTGGATATTTTAATCAGGTTAAAAACAGAAGAACAGAACAGGTAAATTAAGCTGCTACTTATGGAGGTTTCTTAAAATAAAAGAAGAAAATTGAAATGAGTTGAAAAAACAAATGTGACATTAATGGTTTTCGATGTTCTTGAATTTTAGAAATATATGAAATTAAACCATAAACTCACTTTCACAACGATATAGCACCTCCACGTACTTGTAGGTCTCAGGACAGGGATCTCCGAACAGAGAACTACTGACTAAGAAGCTGCACTCCGATTTCCCATCACAGCTGTGGATTGACATCAAAGTCAGTTTACTAGAGATTGTGACATGGTGTTTCTTGGATTTCTTAATTAATATCCAGTTTGAAAAACCTTAAGGAAAGACTTAAACTCTGTACTTCTGAAACACATAATCCCTGCCCGTATTCCAGTATTCTTTATCTTGTCGTAAGGTATCTCATAAGAGCACGTCGTCTGGTCACTACGTCCATATTTAGCACTCAGCAGATATATTGTCCCATGTTCTGTTGGAAAACAGAAGAGGAAATGTTGGAAATCTGAATGTATTCATGCTGTAATGCTCCAGAACAACCAGTAAAACCAGTGACCTTACCACACCATATTACAGCCGTTGATTCCTCACATGCCACACGAAGAACTGTTATATGACAGATTCAGGTCACACTAATATCAGACACTGAAAACTTCAGCTATCCATCATCTAATGCAAAACTTATGTTTAATAATTATAGATTCAATAATCTTGGCTTCATTCTAAAACTTGCAACACTACCTCTTGGGGTGAGAAAATCTGCCTGTTAAAAAATAAAATTAATCACAAATTAATTAAAATCTGGTTAACAACTAAACAAAAAAACTACAATTGCTAAATAAAACCAGTAAAATAATGTTTTTAACAACAGATATTCAAACCACAAAGAGAACAGAAGGTTTTCACTCACATTGATTTCCAGGATGAATCCACAGAGGAACAAAGTAAAAAAGGATGAATTTCATCTGTATGAAAGCAGGAAACATTCAGTTACTCTGAGATATGACTGAGAAAAACTCAATGATTTTATGAAATATTTATAACAATCTGCTGAACTAAATGACATACATTTTAATTCATAAATATGAACAAAAAGCTTTTAGTAAGATTTAAACTTACTGTTCCTTCTTTGTACGCTTAAATCTCAGCATATCAAAAATGCAACTATAGGTTGACATCATCCAGTTTTAGTCAAATCTTACCTTGTGATGAAGAATCAAAGCAGCAGCAGGACTTTCTGGAAGCAATGTGTCTTCAACAGGGAATGGAGGGTTTATAAACCTTCACTGATGATCTGGCAGGGGAAGAAAATATTTTACTCCAACAATTCAGCCTGCTGAGTTTTGACCAGAAGTTCAGGTTGGTGATGGGTGTGTCACACCTGAAGCCATTTCTCCTCATTCCTATTGATAAATCATTGATCATCTCTTTATAGCCCCCAGCCCAGCTCGCAGGTCACACCAGACTGAAAATGATGGGATGAAAAACCCAGTTGGGTTTTAGATACTGGCTGCAGCAGCCAGGTGGGATTTTCTGTTAACAAAGATTGTTGGCCTTGATGTGGACCGTGATTCTGTCAGCCGTCTCCATCTGCTCTCTGGTTTCATACAGGAATCATAAACCATTGATGTCTTTATCAGCTCTATGAAATCCCAGTCATTTTACTCTTGGATGAGTTTAATACATAAAACCCTCCTAATATCTCTGGAAACATGTTGGAGCTCACGATTCCTTCTGAATTTGCTTTTCTCAGTTTTGTCAGATTGTGGACAAATTTTAGTGTCATGTAAAGTTGATCCCAGTAAATACAAATGTTGTTTTAAATGCTTAATTCATTTCAATTCTGTGTATACAGTTTGTTGAAATATAGCTTTATTTATCATAGCCTGATGTAAATACATTTAGGAAGAGAGAAGAAATAAATCTTTGATATTTCAGTCTGGAAATGGTCAGCAAGTCGTTTCTAAGGCCTTGGGATTCTGGAAAAGCATAGAGAGAACCGTTATCTGTAAATGTGATGTGGGTGTTTCTGCACCAGAGTCTGTGCTGCTTTGTCTGGGACTGGAGGTTCATGTTTATGTTTATAATTATTTTTGTTGAATGAGATCCCCATAAGCATCAGCAACATGCTGTAAACTACAAAAGGATTAAAATATCTGGTGTGGATGGTGTGATATCTAATGATAAGAGCTCCTTCTCACAGACAAAATGTTTAAAGCAAACTTTTTAGGAAAATAAAGCATCGGTTTGTTTAGCAACAGTATAAAATTCAACCGGTTTTTTCAAACTACCACCTTAAGCATGATGTTAACATTCTAGGAAATAGAAAAAGGTTAGATAAGCTCTAAATCAGAAATGTGAAGAAGTAGTTTCAGGATTGACCACCTTCTGACCCGTCCCCTTATTCTCCCTGGTCACATGTAAAGTGGACCTGGCCATTCTGGACGTTACTTTAAAGATTCCTTGAAGTTTTCCTTCAACTACTTGAGCTCCTCAGTGAAGGAAAGGCTCTTAAACATTGCAAAGCCATTTACACACTCCTCCATCAACACAAGAAGCACAATCCTGAGTCATTGCCTTCAGCAAAACTAACAAGTCAGTCTTTTCTTCACTTTTCAGAGATGAGATTAAATATCCAGATTAGTTTGTCCTCTGGAGATTTTCTTATCTTAATTATGCAGCAGCCCAGGAGCAAACTGTGGAGAGAAAGAGGCCTGGAGTTCCTGACAGACCGGCCTGTGTGTGTGTGTGGGGGGGTGGTGCGGGGGGTGCGTGTGTGTGCATGTGTGTGTGCGTATGTGCGTGTGTGTGAGTGTGCGTGTTTGTGTTCGTGAGTTTGTTTATATTACCTTTTGGGTTTTCGTGACATGTACAGTGTTGTGGGGACCCGCTGCTCCTTGTGGGGACCGAAGCCTGGTCCCCTCAGGGAAAATGCTGTATTTTAGTCAGGGTTCAGATTTAGGACCAACACGTGAATTAAGTTCTGATTAAGGTTAAGGGTAAGGTTTAGGCTGTAGAAATTAATGGAAATCAATGGAAAGTCCCCACAAAATGGCCACGCAAACATGTTTCATTTTACATAGAAACCTAAATACAAAACTAATGTCAAATTTTTGGGCGTTCTCGTTGTCTTTTGCCAATCAATAAAGTTTATTTGTATACCACATTTCACCAAATGAAATCCGTCCAAAGACTTTTACATTATTAAAAAACAAAAAGCCATAAAAACAGAGCAATTATAAATATAATCAATAATCTTCAGTATTATGTTGATCAATGTTTAATTGTTCATGGCTCAAAGGAACTTTAAACTGGTGGGTTTTAGCCTTGATTTAAAGAAACTGATTGCTTTGCCTGGGTTGCACTTTGCTGGAGGTTTGCGGTGCATAGAAGCTGATTGCTGCTGGTCCATGTTCGCTTCTGTTTCTGGATGCAGAGAAGAATCAGAACCACAACCTGAGAGATCTGAAGGTTGATCCAGCAGCAGCACATCTTTGATCTGTTCAGTAATTTAAAACGACCAGCTGGAGTTTAAAGTCTGTTATCTCAGTAAAGGACTGTAGAACTGGGTGAAGTTGTGCGGTTGATGTAGACCTTGGTGATGTAGAGCTGGTTGAAATAGAACTGGTTGGTGTAGAATTGAGTCACGTAAACCTAGTCATTAATTTCCACTTCTAGATGTGATGACCATGTGATTATTGTCCTTTGAGTTCCCCAGTTTCAGTTCGTAGTGGTCCCAGTGACTTCTACATAACCTGCTTGGTAAGTTTTCATATAAGCATCTAAGAGCCACTCAGTTATGGGAACATTCAGTTTGTTTTTACCAACATTTCACTGAAGGTGAAAAAACAAAAAGTCATTCATGGATCTATTTGTTACAACTACAAACACTGATAAGGGTTGCATGCTAACAGTTTGCCAGCAGAGTTCAGTTACCAGCCTGGCTCCTGTGAAGTGAGAGGAATACATTATAAACCTTAAACTGAATTATTTAATGTAAGGCCACAAACATATTCCTCTCTGAATTTTCTCTTATTTTGGGTGAAGTAGTTTACCAAAGAAGCAGTTTGACAAAAAGACTGTCATTAATCTTTATATTACAGAAATGAAAATAAAAATATTTTCAAACTAACTCTATTACTTTATTTATTATGTTTAATTGCAATTCAGATTATTTTCATTCAGCTTCTTGAGGGAGCTAAGATTCTTCCAGGTTTGCAGCAGAATGCTGCAGATCTTCTCTCAGTCTGTTGCCCTCTGCGTCATCTGTTGGGGCAGCAGCATCAGAGCCTTCGTCGGCATCCTGAAGAAGAAGGCGACTTCTGCTTCTATTCTGGGCACAACTGGGGAACATCTGGACATAATAAAGATGATGAGGCACAGGATTATTTATAAAATCAAGTAAAATATTGACAACTCTGACAACCTTTTCTGACTGTCTTGGGGAAAAAGTGTCTTCAGTCAGAATGCACCAATAAAGTATTTCTGAATTTTAACTTAGAAGATTGGAACCTGTTTTTGATTTATGCATAAAATTTGAGGCATGTGGTTCTTGATTTAAGTGCTTGATGGGTTGAGCTGCTTTAACTCATCTGTAAATGTTCAAAACAAAGGATGCACTTTTTGATGCAACTTAAAATATGTTTGGCTAAGTGCAGTCCATTTACAAGCTTTTTGAAGTATTGGTACTAATTAGATTTTACAGTGTAGATGATAACTGCTTTTGGCAGAAGAGATCTCTTGTAGCAGTCAGTGTTACAGTGAGCCTGGAGAAGCCTCTGACAAAGACAGTGTCATGAAGAGATCGGTCAGGGTTTTCAAAGTCTGAAGAAATTATAATTTTTCGATTATCATGACTTTTACATTTAAAACCAAAAATGGATGAAAGGAAGGAAAAACGCCTTTAACAAATAAACAAATAAAAATAAAAACTGAATTTAGACCAGATAATTTTTTAATTTTAATGAAAACACTAATATTTTGTATTAATTTGCTAATTTAATATCCTGGATTTGTTAATCAGGCTAAAGAACAAAGTGAATAAAGCTGCTACTGATGGATTTTTGTTTAGAAGAGACACAACATTAAAATGAGCAAAAATAGCATCCATAAAGTTGTTGTTTGTGTTGCACCAACTTGTTGAAGCTGTTCCTGTTTTGAGAAAGATTTTTGTGAAGTGAGAGCCTGAACTCACCGTAACAAATATATTCCACCTCCAGGTACTTGTAGGTCCCATAGCAGGGATCTCCCAACACATAGTTCCTGGCTTTGACTTTACACCACTGTTTCCCGTTGCACCTGTGGATTCGGGTCAAAGTCAGCGATTTGCCTTTCTTAGACCTCCTCATTCACTCATTCACATCCAGTTTGATAAACCTTCAGGAAACACTGAAGCTCTGTACCTCTCACCAACTTTCCCTGCGTCTGTGGAGCACTCGGTGTTCTTTGGCTGGTCAGCAGGTCTCCCAGCGCTGCACCTCTTCTTGTCAGTGCGTCCATATGTAGCACTGGTCACATAGATAGCCTGACCTTCTTCTGCCAGAGCCAAGAGGAAATGTTGAAAACCTGAATGTATTCATGGTGTAATGCTCCAGAACCGACCAGTGAAACCAGTGACCTTACCACAGTAGAGTCGAGCCACTGTTCCCTCACATGCCACGAGGGATTTTTCCTCTGGGAGGGATTCTGCATATGAGACATTCAGATCATATTAATATCAGGACACGGAAAAGTCCAAATTGTGTTTAGCAGTTTTAGATCCAATAAATGATGAACGTTCAACATCAGCCTTCATGCCCAGCTTGTCTTCATACTGAAACCTGCAGCGCCACCTTGTGAACTCCAAACACCAGAAACATTAAAGCACAAACCTCCTGATGAACTTTTCCCCTGTTAATTAAAAGAGACCGATATAAAAAATAATTACTTTTGAAAAACATTTTTGTCTTCAAAGTTTTTAGAGTTGATAAAGTTATCATCGTTTATCTGCAGTTCATACAGACACATTTCAGTGTTTCACTGCCTGTTTCACATATGGACAAAATAAGAGATAAAAACACTAAAAGTACATTAATAACAACTGATTTTCTAAACAGCAAACAGAAGAGAAAGATTTCACTCACATTTACTTTGAGCATGAATCCACAAAGGAACAAAGTAAAAAGAACAAATTTCATCTGTATGGAGATAAGAAACATCAGTAACTCTGAGATAAAACTGAAAATATTAGATGATTTTCTATATTTTTAACAAGCTGCTGAACCAAATGATACATTTCATCCATCCATACGAACATGATGGAAACAAGTTTTTATGTTTCTGACAATCAGAACTAGATTTTATCATAAAATATATCAGAAACAGAATTGTAAGCAGGTTTTAGTTTTGGGTTTGATGAGTCAAATTTTACCTTGTGATGAAATCAAAGCAGCAGCAGCAGAAACCAGGTTCACTGGAAGCAGTGTGCCTTCAACCAGGGAATGGAGGGTTTAAATACCTTCACTGATGATCTGACAGAGGAACAAAATCTTTATCCAGGCAACAATTCATCCTGTTGAGTTCTCAGACCAGAAGTCCAGGCTGGTAATGGGTGACGTAGGGATGTGTCAGGTTAACTGTTTGGATCAGCTGTTCTTGAACGTCAACTTTTTTCTCTGTCAGGACAGAGCCAATGTACAACAGTATATTGGGTGCAATGTACAGTTGAAATGTACATCAGTACTTCAACAATGTTCTCAGTCTGCTAAACTATCTTGCATTACTTCCTTCAAGAATCAGGCTGCTTTTGAATTTGAAGAGGATTTACTAAAGAAAAGTGTGAAATTGAAATGAGATAAAACACTGACAAATACACCAAATACAGTAAAATAAATATAATAGCTTATAAGGTTAATTTAAACTTGTAATTCCCCTTAGATAAAGTTAGATAAGGCTGAAATATGTTCATGTTCAGACATGTTGCTGGCCAACATAAATGCAAATTTGACTCTTGCCAAACTTTGCAGAATGACTCAGGCTGACATGTCCCACTACTGGGAGCAATTTAGTTAGGATTTAGCACGATACCGATGTTTATGTGATGTACAAATTTGTGAAAAAACACAGAGTGAAGCATGTTCTTTCCTGTTCAAACTGGAAACCGTTTTTTAACTGTCTTCATAGTTTGTAAGGAGTTTGTCAAAGTTTTCACCCCATCAGGCTGTAGCGAACAAAGGCAAACTGAGCAACATGTAAATGCAAGTCAGGTTTATTGATGAAAGTTGAAATAAAAGCAAAAGGATGAAGATTGGGGAAGAAAAACAAATAAATGTACAGAAAACTAGAAGACACTGAAGAGAGATGAAGCTGCACATCAGTGGATCACAAGGTCTCTAGATGTAGAAGGAGCCGCTTGGGCTGGTGATCCACATTAGTGTCATGTGGATGCATTTCATCCTCAGCACATCAGATCTGATGGTCGTTTCATTCAATTTCATTTACCTGAAACCACATAAATATCAACAATATAATCTCAGCAGAATGCAGTTTAGACATCAGGAAGTAAAATATCACCAGTTCTAAACCTGCAACAAGGCATTTGGAGACTCAAGGCTGGTTTTCTGGCTTTGATGCAAAAATTAAATGTATTCTTTCTAAATAAATGCAGAAAGACCCAGGCTGGGATTCAAACCCAGGACCTTGTTGCTGCAATTCATTAGTGCTACTGACTGTGTTACTGAGCTGGACTGGAACATTACAGCTGATGAGGGAAAAGTTTTAATGATACTGCAGAGTTTGGACAAAACCTGCTCCACAGGATCAATATGCCAACCAAACTCCAAGTCTGGATATTTTGTGATGCTAAATTTAAAAAAAGAAACAAATAACTGAATATGAAAAAATGGTACATGCAAATATGGATGAATTTAGAATCTTAAAAAATATTTCAGTTATTTAATTTGCCAATTGAATATCTGGATATTTTAATCAGGTTAAAAACAGAAGAACAGAACAGGTAAATTAAGCTGCTACTTATGGAGGTTTCTTAAAATAAAAGAAGAAAATTGAAATGAGTTGAAAAAACAAATGTGACATTAATGGTTTTCGATGTTCTTGAATTTTAGAAAGATATTAATGAAATTAAACCATAAACTCACTTTCACAACGATATAGCACCTCCACGTACTTGTAGGTCTCAGGACAGGGATCTCCGAACAGAGAACTACTGACTAAGAAGCTGCACTCCGATTTCCCATCACAGCTGTGGATTGACATCAAAGTCAGTTTACTAGAGATTGTGACATGGTGATTCTTGGATTTCTTAATTAATATCCAGTTTGAAAAACCTTAAGGAAAGACTTAAACTCTGTACTTCTGAAACACATAATCTGCCCTCGTAGAACAACCAGTATTCTTTATCTTGTCGTAAGGTATCTCATAAGAGCACGTCGTCTGGTCACTACGTCCATATTTAGCACTCAGCAGATATATTGTCCCATGTTCTGTTGGAAAACAGAAGAGGAAATGTTGGAAATCTGAATGTATTCATGCTGTAATGCTCCAGAACAACCAGTAAAACCAGTGACCTTACCACACCATATTTCAGCCAATGATTCCTCACATGCCACACGAAGAACTGTTATATGACAGATTCAGGTCACACTAATATCAGACACTGAAAACTTCAGCTATCCATCATCTAATGCAAAACTTATGTTTAATAATTATAGATTCAATAATCTTGGCTTCATTCTAAAACTTGCAACACTACCTCTTGGGGTGAGAAAATCTGCCTGTTAAAAAATAAAATTAATCACAAATTAATTAAAATCTGGTTAACAACTAAACAAAAAACTACAATTGCTAAATAAAACCAGTAAAATAATGTTTTTAACAACAGATATTCAAACCACAAAGAGAACAGAAGGTTTTCACTCACATGATTTCCAGGATGAATCCACAGAGGAACAAAGTAAAAAGGATGAATTTCATCTGTATGAAAGCAGGAAACATTCAGTTACTCTGACATATGACTGAGAAAAACTCAATGATTTTATGAAATATTTATAACAATCTGCTGAACTAAATGACATACATTTTAATTCATAAATATGAACATAAAAGCTTTTAGTAAGATTTAAACTTACTGTTCCTTCTTTGTACGCTTAAATCTCAGCATATCAAAAATGCAACTATAGGTTGACATCATCCAGTTTTAGTCAAATCTTACCTTGTGATGAAGAATCAAAGCAGCAGCAGGACTTTCTGGAAGCAATGTGTCTTCAACAGGGGAATGGAGGGTTTATAAACCTTCACTGATGATCTGGCAGGGGAAGAAAATATTTTACTCCAACAATTCAGCCTGCTGAGTTTGTCTGACCAGAAGTTCAGGTTGGTGATGGGTGTGTCACACCTGAAGCCATTTCTCCTCATTCCTATTGATAAATCATTGATCATCTCTTTATAGCCCCCAGCCCAGCTCGCAGGTCACACCAGACTGAAAATGATGGGATGAAAAACCCAGTTGGGTTTTAGATACTGGCTGCAGCAGCCAGGTGGGATTTTCTGTTAACAAAGATTGTTGGCCTTGATGTGGACCGTGATTCTGTCAGCCGTCTCCATCTGCTCTCTGGTTTCATACAGGAATCATAAACCATTGATGTCTTTATCAGCTCTATGAAATCCCAGTCATTTTACTCTTGGATGAGTTTAATACATAAAACCCTCCTAATATCTCTGGAAACATGTTGGAGCTCACGATTCCTTCTGAATTTGCTTTTCTCAGTTTTGTCAGATTGTGGACAAATTTTAGTGTCATGTAAAGTTGATCCCAGTAAATACAAAATGTTGTTTTAAATGCTTAATTCATTTCAATTCTGTGTATACAGTTTGTTGAAATATAGCTTTATTTATCATAGCCTGATGTAAATACATTTAGGAAGAGAGAAGAAATAAATCTTTGATATTTCAGTCTGGAAATGGTCAGCAAGTCGTTTCTAAGGCCTTGGGATTCTGGAAAAGCATAGAGAGAACCGTTATCTGTAAATGTGATGTGGGTGTTTCTGCACAGAGTCTGTGCTGCTTTGTCTGGGACTGGAGGTTCATGTTTATGTTTATAATTATTTTTGTTGAATGAGATCCCCATAAGCATCAGCAACATGCTGTAAACTACAAAAGGATTAAAATATCTGGTGTGGATGGTGTGATATCTAATGATAAGAGCTCCTTCTCACAGACAAAATGTTTAAAGCAAACTTTTTAGGAAAATAAAGCATCGGTTTGTTTAGCAACAGTATAAAATTCAACCGGTTTTTCCAAACTACCACCTTAAGCTGATGTTAACATTCTAGGAAATAGAAAAAGGTTAGATAAGCTCTAATAATCAGAAATGTGAAGAAGTAGCTTCAGGATTGACCACCTTCTGACCCGTCCCCTTATTCTCCCTGGTCACATGTAAAGTGGACCTGGCCATTCTGGACGTTACTTTAAAGATTCCTTGGAGTTTTCCTTCAACTACTTGAGCTCCTCAGTGAAGGAAAGGCTCTTAAACATTGCAAAGCCATTTACACACTCCTCCATCAACACAAGAAGCACAATCCTGAGTCATTGCCTTCAGCAAAACTAACAAGTCAGTCTTTTCTTCACTTTTCAGAGATGAGATTAAAATATCCAGATTAGTTTGTCCTCTGGAGATTTTCTTATCTTAATTATGCAGCAGCCCAGGAGCAAACTGTGGAGAGAAAGAGGCCTGGAGTTCCTGACAGACCGGCCTGTGTGTGTGTGTGTTTGGGGGGGGTGGTGCGTGTGCATGTGTGTGTGCGTGTGTGTGCGTATGTGCGTGTGTGTGTGTCAGTGTGCGTGTGTGTGTGTTCGTGAGTTTGTTTATATTACCTTTTGGGTTTTCGTGACATGTACAGTGTTGTGGGGACCCGCTGCTCCTTGTGGGGACCGAAGCCTGGTCCCCTCAGGGAAAATGCTGTATTTTAGTCAGGGTTCAGATTTAGGACCAACGCGTGAATTAAGTTCTGATTAAGGTTAAGGTAAGGTTTAGGTTGTAGAAATTAATGGAAATCAATGGAAAGTCCCCACAAAATGGCAATGCAACATGTTTCATTTTACATAGAAACCTAAATACAAAACTAATGTCAAATTTTTGGGCGTTCTCGTTGTCTATTGCCCATCAATAAAGTTTATTTGTATACCACATTTCACCAAATGAAATCCATCCAAAGACTTTTACATTATTAAAAAACAAAAAGCCATAAAAACGGAGCAATTATAAATATAATCAATAATCTTCAGTATTATGTTGATCAATGTTTAATTGTTCATGGCTCAAAGGAACTTTAAACTGGTGGGTTTTAGCCTTGATTTAAAGAAACTGATTGCTTTGCCTGGGTTGCATTTGCTGGAGGTTTGCGGTGCATAGAAGCTGATTGCTGCTGGTCCATGTTCGCTTCTGTTTCTGGATGCAGAGAAGAATCAGAACCACAACCTGAGAGATCTGAAGGTTGATCCAGCAGCAGCACATCTTTGATCTGTTCAGTAATTTATAAACGACCAGCTGGAGTTTAAAGTCTGTTATCTCAGTAAAGGACTGTAGAACTGGGTGAAGTTGTGCGGTTGATGTAGACCTTGGTGATGTAGAGCTGGTTGAAATAGAACTGGTTGGTGTAGAATTGAGTCACGTAAAACTAGTCATTAATTTCCACTTCTAGATGTGATGACCATGTGAATTATTGTCCTTTGAGTTCTCCCAGTTTCAGTTCGTAGTGGTCCCAGTGACTTCTACATAACCTGCTTGGTAAGTTTTCATATAAGCATCTAAGAGCCACTCAGTTATGGGAACATTCAGTTTGTTTTTACCAACATTTCACTGAAGGTGAAAAAACAAAAAGTCATTCATGGATCTATTTGTTACAAACTACAAACACTGATAAGGGTTGCATGCTAACAGTTTGCCAGCAGAGTTCAGTTACCAGCCTGGCTCCTGTGAAGTGAGAGGAATACATTATTAACCTTAAAAACTGAATTATTTAATGTAAGGCCACAAACATATTCCTCTCTGAATTTTCTCTTATTTTGGGTGAAGTAGTTTACCAAGAGAAGCAGTTTGACAAAAAGGCTGTCATTAATCTTTATATTACAGAAATGAAAATAAAAATATTTTCAAACTAACTCTATTACTTTATTTATTATGTTTAATTGCAATTCAGATTATTTTCATTCAGCTTCTTGAGGGAGCTAAGATTCTTCCAGGTTTGCAGCAGAATGCTGCAGATCTTCTCTCAGTCTGTTGCCCTCTGCGTCATCTGTTGGGGCAGCAGCATCAGAGCCTTCGTCGGCATCCTGAAGAAGAAGGCGACTTCTGCTTCTATTCTGGGCACAACTGGGGAACATCTGGACATAATAAAGACGATGAGGCACAGGATTATTTATAAAATCAAGAAAAATATTGACAACTCTGACAACCTTTTCTGACTGTCTTGGGGAAAAAGTGTCTTCAGTCAGAATGCACCAATAAAGTATTTCTGAATTTTAACTTAGAAGATTGGAACCTGTTTTTGATTTATGCATAGAAATTTGAGGCATGTGGTTCTTGATTTAAGTGCTTGATGGGTTGAGCTGCTTTAACTCATCTGTAAATGTTCAAAACAAAGGATGCACTTTTTGATGCAACTTAAAATATGTTTGGCTAAGTGCAGTCCATTTACAAGCTTTTTGAAGTATTGGTACTAATTAGATTTTACAGTGTAGATGATAACTGCTTTTGGCAGAAGAGATCTCTTGTAGCAGTCAGTGTTACAGTGAGCCTGGAGAAGCCTCTGACAAAGACAGTGTCATGAAGAGATCGGTCAGGGTTTTCAAAGACTGAAGAAATTATAATTTTTCGATTATCATGACTTTTACATTTAAAACCACAAATGGATGAAAGGAAGGAAAAACGCCTTTAACAAATAAACAAATAAAAAAAAACTGAATTTAGACCAGATAATTTTTTAATGTTTAATGAAAACACTAATATTTTGTAAGAGGCCTGGAGTTCCTGACAGACTGGCCTGTGTGTGTGTGTGTGTGTGTGTGTGTGTGTGTGTGTGTGTGTGTGTGCGTGTGCGTGTGTGTGTGTGTGTGTTTATGTTGTATTGGAGCCTAAAGTGATGCTAATCTCTGGTTACTGGTTGTTTTCATCCAGCCAACGATTCATCCTGCTGAGATTCTCAGACCAGAAGTCCAGGCTGGTCATGGGTGAGGTAGGTATGTGTCAGGTTTGATCATATTATGGAAATATTTCAGTGCTGTGCTTAGATGATTCAAGAAACTGTAAAATATTTGCTTTAAATGGTATACATTTGACAGTATGAATTTATTTTTAGTTTCCATGTTTTTGATTCGGTTTCACTAGCAACATTTAGGGTAAAGTGCAGCCAAACTGAAGAAGTAGATTACTGGTAGGGGCCAGATGCATTCTGGGAAACAACAATGTAGATATAGTTTGGTCTTTTCACATGTCAGATGTCAGATACCCAGACAGAAGCTGGTTATCTACTGTCCAGCAGTGTACTGTTGTTGTTGTTCTTGTTGTCCAGTTGGTTCCATGGTTATCAGCCGTTGTGATGATGTAGAGAACTCTCTGTTTGGATCAGCTGTTCTTGAACGTCAACTTTTTTCTCTGTCAGGACAGAGCCAATGTACAACAGTATATTGGGTGCAATGTACTGTTGAAATGTACATCAGTACTTTATTGATGTTCTCAGTCTGCTAAACTGTGTTGCAATACTTCTTTCAAGGAACA